GAGTTAAATACACAATGATTCGAGTTAAATACACAATGGTTCAAGTTCATTACACAATATTACTTGTTCTGGCTTACATACAAATTCAACTTAAGGACAGACCTTGGGAATGGAACTTGTTCTTAAACTTGGGACTACCTGTATACAATCAGGTATATTTGAACCAATCATGAAGCTCTAATTGTGCTTTGATTACACAACTAAGTTTCTTGAAAATTGATCTCAGTGGATAGTAGGGGTTGGCAACATTTTCTAGCTGAGAGCTGAATTTCCTTGAGAAGAATCTGTAGGAGGCAGATGTCAAAGGTGAGTACAACTAAAGCAAACTGTGGGTGGAACAAGAGTCAAAACTGAGCAGAACCACCAATGTTCTCTCTAGCAACCTTTTCCCCTACATAACCAGTTCCCTTCTACATCTCTCTTCCCAAGCCACAAGCTAAGACAGAAATCACTCTTGCCAGAATACTGAATGCACTATAAGTACTGTACAAAGTTTCTGAAGTTAGGCCAAAGGCAATATTAAATTAGGCTGAAGTCTGTAGTGGCCCAAAGACCAGAGTTTGCTCTTTCCCGGTCCTTATGCAGCAGCCACAACTGAAAGCAACCAGTGTGAACTTGCCCCTCATTTTTACAGCAGTGATTTCCTCTGCTGAATCAACAGTGCCTGTTCAAACACATACTTCATCTTCATGCAGTTCACACTGTCTTTCATGCAGTTCCAGATAAGTATGAATTTAAAAAAGAAAAGAAAAGAGCAAAGCATATAAATCTATAGAGAAAGAACACGCATTTCCAAGGCACATATGACTCAAGAAGTGACAAAATAAGATTTTTTTTAATGACTCATACAATTAACAGAATAAACTTCCTTGAAATGATTAACTATGATGAATTTTGCATTATAGGATTTTGCTAATATTACATCTAGATAAAGAAAAACATTTTATACAAAAATAGTGCATATAAATCTATAGAGAAAGAACACGCATTTCCAAGGCACATATGACTCAAGAAGTGACAAAATAAGATTTTTTTTAATGACTCATACAATTAACAGAATAAACTTCCTTGAAATGATTAACTATGATGAATTTTGCATTATAGGATTTTGCTAATATTACATCTAGATAAAGAAAAACATTTTATACAAAAATAGTTTTGCAATGAATCCACTAATAATACTTTTCTTCACAATTCTTCATAAATATAGCAACAACTGGGGTGGGGTGGTGTAATTAAGGAGGTAGATTGGGCCAATTCCATTTAAGGGTCCATGATAATTAAATAAGAATTGTTAAGATATGTAAGAATTGGTTGAAAGCAGGGAGGATATTTACTATGTCCTCCCATTTATCCTAATTTTAATGTAAATGACAATAATCTGCTTAAACAACTGATTTATCAGAATAAAATAATATAGATATCCTCACATCCAACCAGCTTTGTTTTCTTCAGAGAAATCCTCTGAACTGGATTTCTAACTAAAGTTTAGTCAATAGCAAGTATCAGTTCACACACTGACCTGAAATTATAGTCATTCTACATCATTTTACATCATGCCTTTATATATTTTCTTTAAAAAAACTTAGCCTTCAGGTAGGCTTCCAGAATTATTTGGATGACCATTATTAGAAGTAAATTGAAAAGCTAGCAGGGTCAAACCTGGTTAATACTTGGATGCAATATAACTAAGGCAGTTGGCTAGGCAGGGAACTTGAAAAAACATTCCCAAAGAAGTCAAATGTCATGTTGTTGCCAAGAAAACTATATGCATGAAGTCATCAGAAGCTGAGCTTGACTTAAGAGACTTTGTGATGAGAACTTATAGTATTTGGTGGATCTTTGACCTTAATATTGTTTCCTACAGAGAGCCCACTATAGATTGTCCTACCTAAATAAGGTTGGAATCATCATAGGTAAATTCCCTCTCATCCTGACCAAAACTAAAACTGTTTTGTCAGGGAAAGGATTAAAAAATCTTGTCCCACACCAAGCCACCTTTCCTCATCAATATAAGTTGTCATGGCTAATAATATGATTGATCACTTCATCATTTCCTTTAGTCCCTACTTAGCATTGCTCTGATTATCTAATTTGGGAAGATGGATGCTTTGTGTTAACATTATAAATGGGGACCTTTGTGGTTAAACAAAATGTTGATATACATATGCTCATGCAGGAGGTGGGGGAAGTAGACTATTCGAAGTAGGGTAGATAATATATTTAGTTAACTGAGTTCTAATCAACCCATATGACTTCAATCACCTAGAAAACTGACTTAATTCAAAAGATATGATTCACACCTCAAGATGGTTTGCTATTTAATAGGAATGTTTTTACCAGATAAGTCGTGACTGTTCCATGCACAGGGCCAATTAGACAAGCAAGGCTGAGTAGTCTCAGGGCATGGATGAGATAATGAAGCCAGGAGGAAAGGTTTAGATTCATGAGGCACTGGTTATCTTTTGGGATATGCCAGGTCTTTACAAAAGAATGGGTGGCACCTGAAACAGGGTGTACCAAGCTGTTGGCACATAATGTAAAAAGGGTGGCAGAGCAGATTTCTCCCCTGATTTGGGGGAGAAAGATGACAGAATGCAAGGAGTGTTAGAGAAAAGGATGACTTTTTTGTAACTGTTCAAAGGAAAACATTTAGTTCTAGGAAAGAGTACAATAATCAAGTAAGCCACAAGGATAGATACATGTCCCAGAAAATCCGAGGAGACTGTGTACTGTATATGAAAATACTAGAAACCTCCATGGCAAAATGGGAGAGTTGGAATGCTTTATGTTAGACACAGCAAGCATTAGAAATCTAGAGAAGATAACCAATGAAATATTGTGCTCTGGAATAGCTAGTCAAAGAACCAAGAAGGAGAGACACAACACTGGATGAAATCTTTAGTAGGGCCTAGAATCTTGTCTGAAACCTAAAATAACTAAACTGGTTAAGAACACTGATCAAAATGTTATAATCTTCAACATACATGAATGGACCTGTTCAAAAACTGCAACATGATCACATTTGATTTCAGAAGAACTTTCTAAAAATGAGACTGTTGGAGGAAATGATGTTGTAGAATGGCTGTGTAATGCTGAACTTCTCAATTTTAATAGAAAATAAAGCTGAAAACAGATTTTAGATTTTTTTAGACTGGACATTAATAAACTGAGAGCAGTGATAAGTAAAATTTTGTGACAGGAGAATCTAAAAGGAAAAGTTGCTCAGAATTCCAAAAAAGAGAAACACTAAAAACACAATTACAAATAATTCCAATGAGGAAAAATAAAGAGCAGCAAAGATAGTGTGATTACAGAAAAAGCTTAGTGAAGCTCTAAAAGCAAAAAAAAGTACACACATAGGAGTCAGAAAGAGAGGAGGTCACCAAAGAAAGGTACATAAAGGTAGTATGGAACTGTACAAACAGTATCGGGAAAGAAGCTATGGAGAGATACAGAAAGAAAGAACTGGCATCAGAAGAAAAGTCTAAGGGGAAAATGGTAGTAATCCCCATATACCTGAAATGTTGTGAAGACCTGTTCTCTACCATTCCAAACTGTAAGAGATGGAACAATAAATTTCAGTTTCAGAAAGGCAGATTTTGGTCAGATGTTAGATCTTTTTTTTTAATAATAAGAGCAGTTTGACAGTGGAACTAATTGCCTAAAGAGGTGTTTGGTTTCCCTTCCTTGGGTAAGTTCAAGGAGAGGCTTAATGGTCATATGACGAAGATGCATTAATTTGGGTTCACACACTGAATAGTGAGTTGAACTAGAATTTAAATAGCCTCTTCCAGTCCTGATTCTATGTGATAATAAACTGGATGAGGGTGAACAAAAGAATATGGAGTCCAGACAAGACAGAGGCACCGTTAACAGATGATTTCTCAATCTACACAAAGGAAGTTCAACCGAGACTTTTGAACATTGTACTAAGGTTCAGGTTCACCATTCAGAGATACTCCAGGATTCATTACTTGCTGGAAGCTTTCTTATTAATTCTGAACCCTCTCTGAAAATGATGACTATAGTTATCCAGTGTTGCAAGAATGACTGGGTTCAGCCGCTTCAAATTACAATTAACATTTACAGACAAAACAGGCAGAAAATATAGTTATTTATTTGCAGAAATTCTAGATACTCACTAGATAAGCCAACTGCACCCTACAAAGTGTCTAGCTGCTATGTAAAATACATGATCTATTGTCTGAAAACCATCAACTCCTCTCTCTAGGAAATCAGAATTCTTTGAATCTACTCACAAGTGGCCAAATTAGGCCAGATATGTCAGTCACAACAAAGCTCAGAATTACAACTGTGTGGCAGTTTACATCCAGGAATTTATAACGGCTGCCTGACTGGCAAAAATTCAACAAGTTAAGATTTTTCTTTTTCACTTCATCTCTATACTGGGAAAAAGTAGCTCATGATGAATTAGTAATTGCCATTCAGTTTTTGAAGGCACACTAATGTCAGACAAATAACAGAGGCTGTTTCCTGATTTTCTGAAGTTACTGAAGTTCCATGCATGAAA